TAATATAAAACCTGGGAATAAAGCATGAAAATATTTAGAACCACAAATACCTCTGCAATCAGTTAATTAGTACTCAGAACTAATACCACTATCGGCTTGGAACTCCTCTCCATAATCAATTGAGAAGATTCAATTACAAATGGGTAAAATTCAGTCCACCATAACAAATCTTTCTGAGTATCATGACACTCTCTTAACAAATTCAAAAAACGGTTAACAAAAACACAAATCCATCTTACACTTTCTGCCAAACAATTTCTGTATGTCTTTTAAAGATGCAGTATCTCGATTTAACCATGAAGAAACTTAATCCCTAATTATACCCCCGCACAACGAATTTTTAAGGAGGGTATACTGGAATCAGCTTGTCCGTCCGGTCGTCCGTTTTTCCTTGTCCGCCCAATAACTTGAGATTCCTTTGGCCCACAGTCTTCATATTTGGCATGGAGGTTAGTCATGATTAGTAGATGACCCCTATTGAGGTCACTGGGTCAAAGGTCAATGTCACAGGGGCATTGACTAAAAAAAACCTTGTCCGTCCAATAACTTGAGATTCCCACAGTCTTCACATGTGGCATGGAGGTTAGACATGATTAGTAGATGACCCTTATTGATTTTGGGGTCAAAGGTCAAGGTCACAGGGGCCTTGACTTTAAAAAGCTTGTCCACCCAATAACTTGAGATTCCTTTGGCCCACAGTCTTCATATTTGGCATGGAGGTTAATCATGATTATTTTCTCAAGCCTCTCTTCTGTAACCTACATTGTCATAGAACAACTGTCAAACAAAACTACAAATATCATAACCTGAGATGGAGCACAAGTTTTATCAACAGCCTCAGTTCCACTTATATTAAACATTTCACGTAAAAAATTGAACGCAAAAGTAGCTTTTGTTCATTTTCTACCCTGCTAAATCATCCAAATAATTCAAACAAGATAAATCCACATTCCACGTCGTTTGTTACCCTTTGACAAATATATGCTGGGGAGCATAACCCCATTGCTCAACCGTATCAAAAAGATATGATTTTTCCTAGAAATACCAACCACATTGTAACTAGAAGGACATATACTAAACCTTTACTATTGATTAAAGGTACAAAATCATTAATTTTTGGGAAAACCAACTCAACCTTGTTTCTAAGATAATGATCTTCGGGAACAAAGGTATTTACACCAGTACCATTCTTAGGATAACTTAAATCCATAGTCACTCTGTGTTCATTTAAAAAATTTCAAATTTGAAAAAGCGTCTATTTGCAAACGTGTCTGAAAAAACTGTAACTAGAATGGCACCACACCCTCTATCTAATATAAACACTGGAATAGTAATACAATTTAACCTTTAACCTGTCATAATACCATTTAACCTATTACCTAATAATAACAATCAATCAAAAAGGCTGTTATATTCCATAATTAAAAGATTAATGCTTCAAATAAACTGGCCAAATGTGCCTAACGTGTTATCAACAAGTTTTAAATGTCTTATGTCTTTATATGTAAACAGATATGTACGGATTATCAAATTTTGGTCAAATATTGTTAACAGTAATAATGTTATAGTTAGATACTTATATACATCAATGTTAAATGATAGTAATAGAGGAAAAAATAACTGGTTGTCTAATGTGAAATCATTGTTAGATAATGCAGGTTTGTCATATATATGGTATAATCTAAGTATTTATAACCTTAAAAATGTACATTTATTATTTAAGCAAATTCTTATTGATCAATTCATCCAGTCATGGTATCATAATGTAACAACTAGCCCGAGCCTAGGCACATATAGACTTTTTAAGACGTCATTTGATTACTCACTGTATCTTGATAAAATTCCTAAGAAATTTAGGATTGCTTTTACAAAATTAAGATTGTCTTCACACCAACTTAGAATAGAAACTGGACGGTATGGTAATTGTAGAACTGAACGTAGTGAGAGATATTGTCTTATTTGTAATTCACGTGATATAGAAGACGAATTTCATTTTGTTAGCTCGACTATTCGAAGAATATGAGAGCTATTGTAGTCGCCCCGGCGTCGGCGTCGGCGTCCGCGTCGGCGTCTGCGTTGGTTAAAGTTTTTTGTAAAGTCAAATATCTCAATTATTACTTGAGATATTCAATTGAAACTTACAATACTTATTTATAGTAACAAGGCACATCAGATTGACAAGTTGGATAACTCTGCCTACAATATTGACAGAATTATGCCCCTTTTTAACTTAGAAATTTTGGTTAAAGTTTTTTGTAAAGTCAAATATCTCAATCAATGCTTGAGATATTCAATTGAAACTTTCAATACTTATTTAAAGTAACAAGGTACATCAGATTGACAAGTTGGATAACTCTGCCTACAATATTGACAGAATTATGCCCCTTTTTAACTTAGAAATTTTGGTTAAAGTTTTTTGTAAAGTCAAATATCTCAATTATTGCTTGAGATATTCAATTGAAACTTACAATACTTATTTATAGTAACAAGGTGCATCAGATTGACCAGTTGGATAACTCTGCCTACAATATTAACAGAATTATGACCCTTTGGAACTTAGAAATTTTGGTTAAAGTTTTTTTGTAAAGTCAAATATCTCAATTATTGCTTGAGATATTCAATTGAAATTTAAAATACTTTTTTATAGTAACAATGTACATCAGTTTGCAAAATGCATAACTCTGCCTGCAATATTTGCAGAATTATTCACCCCTTTGAAACTTAGAAATTTTGGTTAAAGATTAAAGGTCTTCAAAGATATTTACTTGAAACTTTACACATGCACTTAGGGTCATAATTGGAGGGTCATAATTGTATGTCACTGACCAAGTTCCATAACTCTATCTTGCATTAAGGCTGATTCATATCCCCTTTTCTACTTAGTCTCTTGGTTAATGTTTACATGCAAGTTTTACATATCTCAATAACTATTAAAGATATTTATTAAAAACTTCACATATGCATTTAGGGTCATAATTGTAGGTCACTGACAAAGATCCATAATTCTATCTTGCATTTAGGCTGATTTTTCTCCCCTTTTTCAACTTAGAAATTCATGGTTAAGTTTTTCTTGTAAGTTGTTATCTCAATAACTACTGAAGGGTTTGTAACTTTTTTGGGACAATTTTATGCATTCATAATAATAAAGCAGTGATTTACTTGATAAAACATCTTAATAACAAGCCTTTGTATCTTTTCTGTCAAATTTATTTATTCATAGGTAATTAGTATTATTATACTCAATAAAACACCCTTGTGACATTACCTTCCGAATAGTCAAGCCAATACTGTATAATTAGACTCTCTCTTAGGCTATAACATGAATTTATAAAAAAAAATTAGCCCTTTTGTGAACTTAAAAAATTAAACAATATAAAGGCTCTTTTACTATCAAGCACTTAGAATAGTCGAGCGTGCTGTCCTACAGACAGCTCTTGTTTGTATTTGTAATGCTTATATGGATATACGTAAACCATACTTAAAGAAATATTATTATAATAGACCTAGTGTCCATAAATTCGTTGAACTAATGCAGAATACCAACAGCAACATGCAACTTAAATTATGTAAATATATATATGAAGCGTTTGAAATACGTCAGGGTATTGTTAATATGATATCTGAATAAGCTTATTACTGTATATACCAAAAATATACTAATTGTCCGTGTTATAATTCAATAATTTCATGAAACTTTTGACTGATTTTGACTGTTATTTAGCTGTAAGTCATTAAATATACAAAATCTCCATTAGTTCAACCTCCTTGTTTTCTCGATTCCATTTTCTTTCATGTTTTGACTATATGTATCATATTTCCGCTAAAAATATAATTGTCTGTAAATTTGTGTCATGTTGACATGTTATATTGTATCATTGTATATATGTGTTGTGTAGCAAGAAACGTCATGTTTACGTTACCAAATAAAATATTTTGAATCTTGAATCTTACGGGTAAATGTGTTGTCAAGATTAAACTTTTAACAAAGCAAAATGTCAATCATAACAAAATTATTTATCCTTATAGTGACACAAAATCCACTTACCTTGATTGGGACAAAGGTGAACTCTTTCACAGTTAACCGTAGATCTTTTGTTAACTGGTAAATGGTTGATATCAATTTGTTGCACGATGTACACTTTTTCCGATTCTACTCCATAATACTTTCAAGTTTGTATAATAATTCATTCTATTGATTTATTCCTTTGGCGTTTGAAAAAGAAAGCTAACATGTGTTTAAATACACAATATTATTTAAGTTGATTCGTATTTTAATAGTTACAATAAATTCAGACAATTTTAGTTATTTAAGTAATAGGTAGCAGAATTTTCTTATGTGTAAAATGACTCACGAAGACGTTGACAATTACCGCGTCAAGCCACTGCTTCAAAAGAAAAAAAAATATATATATAATATAACAGATTAGGTTAGTGTTAATTATTAACAAAATTAAATTGTTCAAGAGATGATCCTCCTTGTCGCAAAGAGCGAGTTTATGAACTTTGTTATATTTTGTTATATTTTTACGGAAGGGAGCAGGCTGCTCCCAATGGAGTATATTAACAATTGATGGGAGCAATATTATTAAATATTTTCATGTATTTCCTGATTTTCATCTTTTTCGATATTTTCAAGCTAATTTTCCCGCTTAAATATTTACTATAAAAGGTGTTCACTTTTTCGATTTTGAGGGACTGATTTGAGATTTACTATGCTGTGATGTATAAAAATTAATGCCATTGTGAACTTAAAGTTAAAAAGTATTTGGAATTATAATAAATAAAGGAAAATAAAAGGTATGAATATTACAGTTGTTTTCAAGTTATTTATTCAACATTAAACATCCGATGTAATGGGGATAAAAGTTAAAATAGTTTAAAGGTTTAAAAGTTGTTATTATATCTTCACTACATTGATTGGCGCCGGAACCCGGGAACGAACCAGGGACCTTTGAATTGTTTGGCATTGTCGCTGATTATTCCTTTCTTTTGTGTCTAAGAAGATTCGTAGCAGTAAGAGGAACACCAAAGGAAATAATCAGCGACAATGCCAAACAATTCAAATTGTCTAATCAAACTATTAGATTGATATTGGCGAAAACATTGCAAGAAGCAGATGTACAAAATTATGCATCCACTGAGGGTATTAAATGGACCTTCATAGTAGAACTGGCGCCCTGGATGGGAGGTGTATATGAAAGATTAGTTGGAATTGTAAAGCGTGCATTGAGGAAAGCTCTAGGAAAGAAATTGTTATTGATGGATCAAATAAGCACTGTCGTTAAAGAGATAGAAGCTGTAGTCAACAGGAGACTTCTAGTGTATGTTGGCGAAGACATAAAGTCATCAATAACTTTAACACCAGGTCATTTTCTCTGCTTAAATCCGAAAACTGGAATACCAAATCTTGATTATGATTACAGCGATCCAGAATTTAAACCATATGAAAGTTCTGCCGAGAGGTTATTACAACTATGGAAAAAAGGAGAACGACTCCTGAATAAATTTTGGATCTTATGGCGAGATGAATATTTGCTTAGTTTACGAGAGAGATCACAGAACAAAATTAAATCTGTAAAAGTGCAATCATCCGAATCACCTAACTTAGGAGATATAGTTATAATAAAAGATGATCTTCCACGAGGTCAGTGGAAACTAGCAAAAATAATAAATTTACGCACAAGTAGGGATGGACAAGTTCGGTCTGCTGAATTAGAAACCTCAGTTGGACAAATTTTGAGACGGCCTCTTAATTTGCTTTACCCTATTGAAATGTCAGAGTCAAAAATTAGGGATCCAGATATTAAAAGAAATTCACACCAACAAGAGACAGAAGCAAAGGATTGTCAATTCAAAACATTAAGGCCTATGCGTAAAGCTGCGGAGAAAGCTAGACAAATGTTCCAAAATATGTGATAATTCAACATCTTTTGGCGGAAGCGTCGCATATGCGCGAAATAACTTTAAGTAATGTAAAAAAAAAATTAACATATGCTGCAAACATATTGAAAACATAAAAAATGTATAAAGATTGCTGTATATTTGAATGAATTTTATGCGTAAAATGTATAAAAGCAACCACAATGACGTGTGAGTATTTTTTTTTTGGTCTACTCGTTTAAATTTTACATCTACGAGCATATACAGACTTTATGTACATATTTTGAGAAACTGTTTATTATTTAACAGCCCCGCATAGATAGCAAAATCCGTTATCTAAACTATTGTAAACGGGAGCAAAGAGTTTGTGTAACCAATACCGTGAAATCATGTGATCGGCGGGAGCAAAGATATAGAGAAATAAATGGCGGGAAATTTGCACGGGTTTTGCGAGATTTTTGTGCGCTATAGCCACATGCTTAGTATTCATTGTTTGCTCAGTTTTCAATCGAGAAACACATTCTGTCTTGCTGAAAAATGTATTTTTGTGACACTTGTCAAGCAATATTTACTTTAAAAAGGAATTTGACTCGTCATATTTCAGAAAAACATTTGTATCATAATTATTGGCATTGTGCTATAGAAGGATGTGAAACAAAGTACACAAGGCGTTACAATCTTGTGAACCATCTGGAGAAAACGCATAGTTTATCAAGGGTACAGGCACTTCAAACGGCGCTAAGGTGTAATTCTTCAATGCCCGATAAAGATGGTTACGTAGATATAAATGAAGATGATGATGCAATAGTAAAAATCCTTGCTGAAATTGAAACTGCTGCTCAACCTAACAAAGAAATACAAAATAAAATCATCGACCAATTCGACTTAGACTTATTCCAAGAGCAGCAACCCCACACTGACAATCTTGATTTGGAAGTAATCTCTTCAGTAAGTGACAACACTCTAAGTATGGAATATCATGATGATAAAATGGAGGCTGTAGATGTAAATAACAATGCCGATGACAAGGAAGAAAGTTATTGCAGTGCTCCTGAAGATGGTGTTGGTGTTGGCAGTTGTGATTCTGATCAAAGGGACTCTTATGTTGATGACAGGGAATCCGATACCAGTGCTAATAATTATGATGATGATACAGATGGACTGAACAGTAGGTAAGAAAGTGACAATGAAGATATTTTGGATTATAATGATGATCTTGAAGAAACTGAAATTGGAAGTACCGCTGATGCTGATGAAATATATGAACATATAGATGAAATGTATGATGCTGATGATAGTGAATCTCATGATGTTATTATTTGTAGTTACGTTGATGACCAGGAGCTACATGACGGAACTGTGGAGTAACCATTTGATAGGATAACGGAGATCTTCAAATTAACATTTAAAAGAGACACAATCCTTGACAACAGTGGCAATATAATAGACCATTCAGGGTCAGTAGAAACAGATTATTTCAAGTAAACGAATATGTAAATATGTGAACAGATTGACATTATACCGTTGTCATATTCCCAGGTGGGAGTGTCGCAAAGAGCGAGTTTATGAACTTTGTTATATTTTGTTATATTTTTACGGAAGGGAGCAGGCTGCTCCCAATGGAGTATATTAACAATTGATGGGAGCAATATTATTAAATATTTTCATGTATTTCAAGTATTTCCTGATTTTCATGTTTTTCGATATTTTCATGCTAATTTTCCCGCTTAAATATTTACTATAAAAGGTTTTCACTTTTTCGATTGTGAGGGACTGATTTGAGATTTACTATGCTGTGATGTATAAAAATTAATGCCATTGTGAACTTAAAGTTAAAAAGTATTTGGAATTATAATAAATAAAGGAAAATAAAAGGTATGAATATTACATGATGATAAAATGGAGGCTGTAGATGTAAATAACAATGCCGATGACAAGGAAGAAAGTTATTGCAGTGCTCCTGAAGATGGTGTTGGTGTTGGCAGTTGTGATTCTGATCAAAGGGACTCTTATGTTGATGACAGGGAATCCGATACTAGTGCTTATAATTATGATGATGATACAGATGGACTAAACAGTAGGCAAGAAAGTGACAATGAAGATATTTTGGATTATAATGATGATCTTGAAGAAACTGAAAATGGAAGTACCGCTGATGCTGATGAAATATATGAGCATATGGATGAAATGTATGATGCTGATGATAATGAATCTGATGATGTTATTATTTGTAGTGATGTTGATGACCAGGAGCTACATGACGGAACTGTGGAGTTACCATTTGATAGGATAACGGAAATCTTCGTATTAACATTTAAAAGAGACACAATCCTTGACAACAGTGGCAATATAATAGACCAATCAGGATCAGTGGAAACAGGTTATTTCAAGTATACGAATATGTAAATATGTGAACAGATTGACATTATACCGTTGTCATATTCCCAGGTGGGAGTGTCGCAAAGAGCGAGTTTATGAACTTTGTTATATTTTGTTATATTTTTACGGAAGGGAGCAGGCTGCTCCCAATGGAGTATATTAACAATTGATGGGAGCAATATTATTAAATATTTTCATGTATTTCAAGTATTTCCTGATTTTCATGTTTTTCGATATTTTCATGCTAATTTTCCCGCTTAAATATTTACTATAAAAGGTTTTCACTTTTTCGATTGTGAGGGACTGATTTGAGATTTACTATGCTGTGATGTATAAAAATTAATGCCATTGTGAACTTAAAGTTAAAAAGTATTTGGAATTATAATAAATAAAGGAAAATAAAAGGTATGAATATTACAGTTGTTTTCAAGTTATTTATTCAACATTAAACATCCGATGTAATGGGGATAAAAGTTAAAATAGTTTAAAGGTTTAAAAGTTGTTATTATATCTTCACTACACTCCTACTAAATAACACTTTAATTTTTGGAGTTATTTCTAGACTTATTAATGAAAGTGAAGTTACTAAAGTTGGTGTATTATGATTAGTTTGAAACACTGCAATCATATTGGACAAACATGATTTTAAACACTAATGAGGGCTGTTACAAGTAAAAGCGATATTCAATTAGTTATGTATGACGTTATCGTGGTATACTGTTCCAATTAAACGTGTAAAAATCTTCAGAGCTAAAAATGCCATCTAAGATTTTAAGATTTTTATACGTTAAGTTATTAATAAATGATTTAAGCCTACAAGCACTACCGCAGCCTTCTTTGAATTGATTGTATTTGAATAATTTTTGTTTGGAAGTGTTTGGGCTAGACGTTAGATGCATGTTCTAATTCCAGTCAAAAAGGGTATTGTATGCAATAGCGCTAAAGTGCTCTGACCTTAACATTTCGTTATTATAAAGAGACCGGGCATTTGGTTTGCCGGCTTTGCCGGATGTATCTACGTATAGATATTTTTCCTTTTTAGTAGACCAGTAAATAGCATGACTCGTGAGAGTTCATCAGATTTATACACGCTTAGATAGTTTGCCTCTAAAATTGTCCAATGAAGGAATAATTAATTGGTATATGATGGTTCCTCCTTGTGACGTAACAGACATTGCTTCATTATTGACACTGATTTGCGCCTGATTTGCGCCTATCATCAAGAAGCTTTTGACCCATTTAAGTGTTTGACCAACTAAAAGGACTTGTCTGTTGTTATACATTGATAAATTGGTAGGTGATATAAATAATAGTTTATACTGTAATTGTTTTTTCCTATCACTGACATTTTCCCCTGCTTTATAAGTAATAAATGCAATCTATTAATTGTTTATACTCTTTCTGAAGATAAAGATAAGTATGTTCAATACCTTAATTATGAATGGTGATCTTCTTGTCACTCCTCCATTATCATTATTGTAAGGACATCATCATATATGTCACTCAATAAAGTATTTATTTATAATACCATAAAGATTATAGTATTGTCATGTAATTAGTTATTGATTTATCGAGAAGTGAAATACTGACAATCTAGCTTTATCTAAAACCAAGATGAAATTACTAACACAATCTTATTCTAGCTTCTCTACAGTTATATCATTACCTACTTGTGATGTTTTGTCCATTTGTGCCCACTGTGTTAACTCGCAGGAAAAAATGTAGGACAGTTTAGTTTTAACATTGTCCGTTTCCACCTATGCGAAAGGGACAACTCGCGGTTTAAAAAGAAGATTTTTTTGTATATTAACCTATCATACTGAAATGCTGTATTGTTTTTTATAATTTCGGGAGATTTGCCTATCAACTGATATAATGAAATGTCTGGGGGGAGAAGTAACAGTTTTTAGTACACTTTGGTCAGTAACTGAGTGAACTTATTTATACGTGACTTATGTTCATCAACCAAAAAAGTGTATGTTAAATCCTCAATTTAAACCGACAAAGTAAGTGCATAATTTCCCCTAGTGAATGAATCACTGGTTTGATAAGCGAAAGTATTAAAAAACACTAATCCATGTTTTCATGTAGTTACATATAAAATAGGAAACCAACCCATATAACACAAACACGCTATGCATACTCGGTTTGAACTTATTCAATTAAGCTAGACTGTAACATAATAAGAAAGCCATTATCCACTCATTATTTGACACCTTGGTTACATTCAGATAACGACATGAGCTGTAATAATTAGGTAATGTCAATCAATCAAAGTGGCTGCCCCAGTTGAAACTATTAACTGCTTTTCTAGAATTCAATTTTATGTTACAATACAGCAGCCTGAAGATAAATCAAGCCGCCTGCAAAAAGCCATTAAATTACTACGATAAGATTGATTTGAATGTGACAATAATTGTCCTAATTTGCATTTTGCATTACTTTACAGCAAATAATGACCTTTCCCTAGACATTTCTATTTTGTTTCGAATACATTACTGGAATTTCTGTTTATAAATGACACCTAAATGGAACCTTTCATTCATTTCGCGCTGATTTTAGTGAAATTGGCTAAGTTATCGGCTATGATTTCCTACAAAACGGATCTTAAATTATCATAAATGGATATCTATTTTATAATCATGACATAAGTGTAACAAACAATTTTAAGTAAAAGAAAAATGATATAAAACAATTATAATTTTGTTTAAAATCTTACTATTCAGTTAGTATTAGTAATTAATGTATTAAAGAATATTGTTGTAAATTTGGTAAGACATTTTACAAATTGTTAGTTCAATAAAAAATACTCCATACTAAATAAGCATAACTATAGTCCGTAAACAAGTGATTATGGTACTGCATATAATCAAAAATACATATTTTGCGTATAGTGACAAGTATTACAATTATCAATTATTAAATGTATTTTTTAGCTCACCAGAACCGAAGGTTCAGTGTGAGCTATTAGTTTCAAAGGCGGATACTCCGTCGTCCGTCGTCATGCGTCAACAATCGTCTTCTTCTCTGAAACTGCTGGGCAGATTTATTTCAAATATGGTCTGTAGCATCCTTGTGACAGTCACACTTGAATTTGCTCATGTCATTTCAGTAGGCCCCTTTTAGGGGCCAACAAAGCTAAAAATGGAAAAACACCTTCTACTACAGAACTAATTAATGGATGATCACCAAACTTTCTCTGTAGCATTCTTGGGTAGTCTTTTATCATCTTTGCTCATATTAATGTGATTGGCCCCTTTTAGGGGTCTCTTGGGATAAAAATAGAAAAACCTTTTAACATCTTCTTCTACAGAACTAATTGATGAATGATCACCAAACTTTGTCTGTATCATTCTTTTTTTTTTCTTTTTTTTTATCAAGTATGCTCATATTAATTTGATTGGCCCCTTTTAGGGGCCGCTAAAGCTAAAAATAAAAATACCTTTTAACGTCTTTTTCTACAGAACTAATTGATGGATGATTACCAAACTTTGTCTGTAGCATTCTTAGGTAGCTTGTTATCAAATTTACTCATATTAATTTGATTGGCTACTTTTATGGGTCTCTAGGGCTAAAAATAGAAAAACCCTTAAACATCTTCTTCTACAAAACTAATTGATGGATGATCACCAAACTTTGTCTGTAGCATTCTTGGGTAGTCTTTTATCAAGTTTGCTCATATTAATTTGATTGGCCCCATTTAAGCTAAAGCTTAAATGCCCCAGGTCAGGGCATTTCTTCAAATTATTGTTTAAACATATTCTATGCTCAAATTTAATACAAATGTACTAGAAAATATTGACAATGGATAATTTCCAACACTGAAAAGCAGTTGTTTCTGTTGAGCAACTCGGGGCCATCATGGCCCTCTTGTTAATTTTTTCAATCTGAATGATTTTGTTAAGTATGCTTTTTATTATAATTTCTAGCTTAGCTTTGTTTTGTGTATTAAATCGGGCTAACTTTTACTGTATGCAAATGTTACAGGGTGAGAAAAGCTGCTGTCTGACTGGAACGAAAACCCGGGACCCTCTGAATACTGTATCGCTTCTGTACCGATAAATTGAAATTCGACCGACCTCGAACGTTTCAAGGTTACAGAGCAATGTGAATTAAACTCGGAGCTAAATGAAGTCAATGTTCTCCGTTGGGCGCATAATGTCACAGGGTAAGAAAAATGTGCAACCTGACCTAGAATCTAACCCTGGACCCTCGGAATACCGTTCCGCGGGTGTACTGACTGAGTTATCCGGTCGCTTACACATCTTTTCCCCTAAATAATGAACAGTTATGACTTGTGACACAAGTAACCATAAATAAAACAGAACCACTTTAAAGAAATGCAGACCCCTTTTTCAAAAAAAGTTATTACATTCAAATGTTTCCCCAAAATGGCAAACCTAAATATGTTGATCGAGATGCTAACGATTGCTGTTCTTCATGTAACATCGTCTTTAAGTCCCATGCAACATGAAAAATGCAATTAACAAACGTATGTGCAAAACACTTAGCCCTTTACACGGGTATATAACATTAACAGCTACAGGAGGATTTCTCAAAACACTAAGAAAGGAACAGAAACGTACCTCGAAATCATTGAAACACAGGGAAATGAAATCCACAAGACAAGTGCATTAGTAAATATTTACATATTCTTCTGTTGTCTCTAATCACATTGCACCTTCATTGCTGCAGTACATTTTCCGGTAATTTGAGAAAGAAAAACATTTTTTTTTACAAGTAGTATAACTAATTGCGCAAACACGGGGAGGTACAAATCAATTCAACGGGTAGTAGTAAATATATTAAGAACGAAAAAGAAATATCTAAATTATGGTCATAGTTTACGGTAAAAAACGCATCGTGCAAATTGCGACAATAACATTCTCATTATAGCAATTGCTGTTTTCAGGAAACTCTACACATTTTATCTTATAGTAAAATTGTAACAGAAAATATAATCATTGATCTTGACCTTTTAAATTTCTTCGGAAATACTTTCTTTGTCGATATGTTATAATCTTTGC